AGTCACAATACCGAAACTATGTTGTGATAAAGTGACTAATAATAAGAAATATATATTTGGTGTGTATCCATTGCTCCTTTGTGTAAATAGAACTCCCAAAGCCCTTGGAGATCCTAAATGAGGAGAGTAATGAAAGTGTTATTTGTTATGTTAATGAGGTGACTTTTGAACTCCACCCAACAGTGGGGCTGGTTGTCTTGAGTACTAAGTTTGTCTAAAGAGTTAGACCTTTAAGTCCCACCCCCTGACCTAGGTCATGATTCCCACCATCTAGTTGGGAGATCCAGGTTAACACAGGAGTTAAATAACTAGCCAAGGTCATTCTGATTTTAAATGGTGGGAATGTTGTGAAAACCCACACAACGGGGCTGCAGAACCTCAATCCTAACAACACACCATACACCTGCAACACAGGAAAAACACTAATAAAGGGAGAACCACAGCATATGATCAATCCTTGAAAAATGAGCACAGGTCTGAGGCACATAAGAGAGGAGAGGGAAGGAGAAGGATGAGAATGGAAGCGAACACAATGGACTTGGGCAGAGGACCAAGGGTGCTTTGGTGATGGGAGAGCTACAGTGACCAAACCTAAGGGGAAAAATCCTCTATTATCAATATGAACAAAGATGTGAAACAATGGCACTTCATGAATAAAGAAGAGAAGAAAAAAAGAAAATGAAAAAAGAATTAAAGTTGAAGTAAGAATAGCCTTAGCATTATATCTTTCACACTTAGGGAAATAAAAAGTTCTGGGAAGAACCTACCCAGAGTGAAACCATATGCAATCCCTCAGCATGGACAGTACCTGACTAAGAATATATTCCAGACTGAAAAGACCAAGGTCAAATGGCCAGGCTAATTCATGGCTGGAGAGCTAATGAATCAGAGAGATAGAGGTGACTTCTTTGCTTCCTTGAATGGACATAGGTGGGTACATCCTCTTTGACCATCTGAAGTGCCATATCACACCCTGAAGCCATTCTCCTCCAAAATGGCATATTCATCTTACCAAGAGCACTCCACAATGTAGAATTCTCCTGCACTGTGACTTCCAATTTTCCCTAGTCTCATCTTCAAATAAGATCATTGTTTCTACTGGACTCACGGGGAGAATTTCTGCAAAAGACTTACGATATAAAAAGCTTCCTAACTTACAGAAGGATGCTATTATAAACCAGGCTAATTTATGACAAAAGTACTTAACTCCCAAACCTAACACAGACACCACTAGAAGGAAGGATGAGAGAGGTGGCAGGCGAGAGAAGAGGAAGGGAGAGGAAGGAAAAGTGGGCAAGGAAAGAGGAAGAGAGAGAAGGACAAGATATAAGAGGATGGGTAAGAAAGGAAGACACGGAGGAGGGGGCAAAGATAGCTGAGCAGTGGCTGCCCTCTCTTAGGGAAACACCGAACTTGCAATCCAGCACATCCTTCTTTATCCATGGCTTCAGATACAGTGTCAACCATGGTCAGAAAATACCACATCCAATAGGATATTGAGAAAGAATATATTCATAGACTGTTAGTATGAATGTTCTACTTTACTTTTCATTATTGTTAATCTCTGACTGTGCCTAAGTTATAAATTAAACTTTTTCATAAGTCCATGTGTATAGAATAAAGCAAAGTAAATAGGGTTTGGTACTATCTGTGGTTCCAGGCATCCACTTGGGGGTTTGGAAAATTTATCCACTGTAGATTAGGGGGGGCAACTGTAATCAAGTAGAGATGGCCCAGTCACATAAATCTAGTTTAAAAATAAACCCTATTTTTATAATGTGACTTTTTAAACTGGAGCACAATTTGCCTTAGCCTGGTTTAAAAAAAAGCATATTAATTGTGAAACACTGGTTTTACTAACCCTGGAAAGCTGACTACAGAGCTCAAGCATCCAGGGAGTGAAAAGAAAGAAGGGCGAGAGCAAAGAGGAAAGGAGGCTCGTGGGTTAAGGTGGTGGACTATGGGTAACAAACAGGGTGGTGGGCGGACTCGGTGGCAAAAACTGCCAGGAACATCCTAATAAGGCCTCAGTGTTAAAAAAAAAAAAAAAAAAAAAAAACTAGATTCCACAGTATTTCAGTGACAGTGATTTTGTACTTAAATGTCAAAGGTGACTAACTGTGGGAAAGAGGCTGCCTGTGTTAATCTAAAATAACTTGAGGGCTTAAGAAAGTTTATGAAAGATGGTTGATAAAGTTTAAAATAATTGAGAATCATTTAATTTTTTAAAAGCAAAACAACTAGTTCTATACCCATTAGAAACAAAACACCAGTGTTTCATTGTTACCAACTCTATTTAACTTAACTCTAGAAATATCAACAGATAACTTCAAGAAAAAAAATAACAGTGCAAAGGTGATGAAGGTGGGGGGGGGAACCCCAGCAGTATCAGTACTTCCAGCTGTCATTTCTATGAAATGGTTATTTCTAGAAAATTAACCATAAAATGACTTGTTCAAAATCAATGTAAAATAAATACTCAAAATCAATAACCTCGCTTATACTAGTGCCAGGTAGCAGAAAAGCAAAAAGTCAGGAAAAAGAAAGTTATTTGCAAGAGTAAAACAAAACACTAAATACCTTCATATTCATTTCACTGAAAACACCCAAGACTTCAAGAAAACTTAAGAGAAATAAGCTTGAGGCCCTCCCTGGTGGCACAGCAGGTTACAGCATAGAGCTAAGAAGCTAAAGCCACTTCAGCAGGAGTTCGATCCCCACCTGCCCCGAAGTGATCCCCATGGTATGGCAGACCTCTCCTGACCCACCCACTGGTCCCCACAGCAGTGTACTTCATTGATCTGCCTGTTCAGCTCCCCACTCTGTCTCTGGTGAATCCTCCCACAGCCCCAGCACCTCTAGCCTGTACCCCAGTTCTGTATGCATAAATAAATAAATCTTCAAAAAAAGAGAGAGAGAGAGAAATAAGCTTGAGCAATGGAGTGACTCGCTCCAGGAATAAATTTCCTAGAACAAAGGGAGGTGGAAGGGGGGGCAGGCATTAAGGGGGCCATGAGATAAGCCCACAGCTTCAAGCCAGTTCAGGTGGCAAAGATGTTTTATATTGACTTGCAAATCAATCCATTATCTATCAATACTAAGATCTATTGGAACACTTCTAGAAACTGGCAGGTACACAGAAAAGCTCATCTAGGGGAATAAGGAAAGTCAGAAACCTTTTAAAAGACTGCTTTTTAAAAAGTGAATCTGTTCTATTGGAGTCTAAACTATAAAGCTGCAGTTACTCATACTGTCAGAGCTATATTAGAAACATATCACAGGCCTGACATACACCTCAGGAACAATTTAAAGTATTACTGCAATGCCGTAAATGACACGTGCAAAGCAATACAAAAGTGAGGCAAAGAAGTATTGTTGAATGTCAACTTAAATAAAATAACAAATTCCAAGCAGGGCAATAAATTGTGTCTTTAAACTATCTGAGTTACGTTAGAGATGAAAAGAGGAGAGGAGAGGATGATCTTAGTACTAGAAAAACAAAAAGGTAAAGATCAATGGAGCTGAGAAATAAAAAGCAATATGGAATTATGATGAACATAAACATAACAAAATTTTCACTATTCAAAAACATACAAAATACTACATAAGAAGAGCTATCAGAACACATAAAAAGCCCAGATTCTGTTCACTAAGTGGGCAGAGAGAATGATCCATGTAGCCCGAAAGAAATGTAAATAGGAAAAAGAAATAGAAATGTACCACCTCTAGTTATTAAAGAAAAAGATGCTAAAAGAAATCTAAGATATCACTGGACACATGAAATTAAAAACATGGCCAAACTCCATGCTGGCCCAGTTACACAGGAATGGAAGCGGTGGCTGATGGTGAGGAGCCATGTCCTTCAAGTAGCAGCAAAGGCAGACTCCTTCGTCCACAATGGTACCCTGGAGAAAGCTGCGCTTCTAATAGGGGAGGCACATGACTGCCAGGGCACTGAGCCATTGTGTTCCTGCCTTAGCAAATGGCGGTCATCCTTTTGTACAATTTGGCACAGGGGGACCAGGGAAAACAAGAGAACCAGTAATTTTCAAATGTGTCACATGGATTTGGGCAATGAACTTCTACCAATGTTCATGTAAACTGAAGACAAGAGATCCTTCCCCCAAGTTTCTGTGACTCTGTTACCACCTTAGGGGTGGGATATAAACACACACACACACACACACACACACACACACACACCAAACACAGAGTTCCCCTAAGACAAGAACAAGTTCCTGCCTGTTGGGCCTCTTACCACTTTGAAATGGAGACCACAGGTACAGCTCTCAACCTCTCTTCTCACACCCTTGCTGCATCCTGACAGCCCTACCTCTTTTTTCTTTTTTTCCCCTCTCTTTTAAAATCAGCTTAATTCTCTAGCAAAATAGGACCAACCTTAGCTTCTGTGTACCCTCCTAAGAGCTCAGTTCAATTGAGATGTCTGCTCTTAACAACAAGAGAACAGGTTTGAGAATCATAAGATTTCTCTTTTTGATGCCAATACAACTGACAGCCTTCTCTCACCGCACCCCCCCCCCCAACCTGCTCTCATGTCAGATGTCCTCATTCAACTTTTAAATTTCCCACTGATTTCCCATTCTATTCCTGGCACTTCCAGCCCTTTCTCTTTGGCGTGCTTTAAGGACCAGCTTGTCATCTGTGAAGCCCAGACCTTCTGCCCACTGCTGCCTCGCTTTTAGGTCAGAGATTCATTTTCACTCTTTGCCAATTTCATACAACCTGGATGTCCCCCAATGCCGCCCCATCGTGTCCCCCCCACCCCCTCACAAAAAGCTATTTGGAAATTCCACACACTGCTTTTCTTTTCATGTTGACCAATCCCCATGAGGCCAAGCCAGGTGGCAGCTCCCTGTTGTTCTGCACGCAGCTTGAACAGGCCAGGTGGAGCCTCCTCATGGCCACAGTGCAACTGATGGCTCCAGCACCAGAGCCCCTCAGCCCTCTGGACCCCAGCAGGCAAATCCACAGAAAGCTACCACTTCCACAACCTTGGTCAGGCCTCTTCTCCACCCAAACAAAGGCAAAGAGATCTAAGACATCATCACAATCACTACCGAAAAAAGAAACTCTGAAGTTACACAGATTTGTATATATTCCATATAAGTCTTTATCTTCCTTGGGTTCGAGTCTGGTTTCTGTCATTTACTAAGTGGGTGAGTTTAGGTACCAACATGCATAGCCTCTCCAGGACTGTTTTCTTATCCGTGAAAATGATAATAATAATACTGTGCAGATTAAATGAGATAGCCAAGTTCAAGGGCTTGGAACTGTAGACATTTCATTGTCTCACATAAATTTAGTTAAATCATGGGTTACTGTCTACAAAAGGACAATGAAAATTTAGATGGGGAAAAGTCATTGCTCCCTGTGACCAGCTCTTTAAAGCACAGAAATGCAAGACTCCCCGTTGTCCTGCCCTTGTTACTATGCAGCTTTCTTCAGGCAGAGCGCATTAGCTTGGAAAATCTGTTCATGTGGACATAACAGCACTACAGAGGCTGAAGAAACTCTTCTTCTCTGTTCTTCCCCTTAACCAGTTCAGGCCAATCTGCTTTTCCTGTGCCAAAACTGCAATCCCTGTAAGGCACAGTTTACAGAAACCCCTACCCATTCTGGGCACTGCAAAGCCAGCCATGCCGGAGTCCTGTTAGCGGCTGTTGCAGGACTGCAGGGGGAGATGCAGTCAGCACCATGACACCCGAGAGTTCAAGGTTGGCGAGCTGCATGCCAATGAAGACAACGACTTTAATGTTGGAGTTACTTCCCCTTTTACTGTAGGGTAAAAATCCAGAGAAAAATTGAAGCCTGGCCCTTCTGTGTGACCAGCCAACAGTCCCTAGGGCTAGACCTTAGCCTGCTGTCTAAATGTAGCTGCTTATCTTACCTGTAGTTCACAATGTCCCATGCTGTCTCAGCAGGGGAAGTGTTTTAACTTGTCCCAGGAAAAGCACAGATTGACCTGAACTGGTTAAGGGGAGGGAAAGCAAGGAAGAGTTTTTTTTCAGGCTTTGTAGAGCTGTTATGACCACATGAATCCCTTAGGCCTGGGGCTGTTGTCTGGATCCTTGAACTCAGACAAAACAGAGACTTGGGCCCTCCTTGATGGCCCAAGGGATTAAGTCTCAGCACTATAAAGTTATCCATAGCCACTGCACCACTTCAATCCCCAAGCAGGGGAATCAAAACAAATGCCCCAAAATAGATGACTGGATTAAAAAGAAGTGGTATATATACATAATGGAATATTACTCAGCAACCAAAAAATAAATAAACACATGCCTTTGGATGGATGTATGGAGCTGGAAGGGATCATGCTTAGTGAAATAAGCTAGAAAGAAAAGGAAAGAAACCATAGGGTTTCACTCATAGCAGGAGCATAAAGGACCAAGGGAGAAAATAATAATAATAACGAACAACTATATACCAGAGACATTTTACAGGGGTGGAGTGGGGAATGGGATAAAAAATGGCGGTGGGGGGTAGTTCAATGGACTATGGTGATGGCACATGGGTGATTTGGTGATGGGAAGCCA